CCTGCTGCTGCTGTCTTTGTATCCAATTGCTGGCTGCATCAGTCATTCCGACGATCACCCCCGCCGATCCCGACAAATCCCCCGCCTCCGTTTGCCGATGGTCACAGACACGCCGGTCTAGGCTGGCATCGAAGCGAGGAATCATCCCCTGCTGTGCACCATGACCACTACCGGCGTCTCGCGCCCCATGGGCCGTAGCGAGCACTTCCCAGTGCATCTGGCACCCGAGCCACGCCCTGATCGAAATGACACGAGAAGCCCATATCGAACCACAATCAGTCACTTCGATGACACCTCGGATGAGGAGGATGAAGTTGAGGAGGAGGACCAGGAGGGCGACCTGGCAGAGCCCCAACAAGATTCGCGGCCACCGACAACCTCGAGTAACCCCAACATTCCTCTACACCCCATCGCGTCTATGCAGGACGCCTTTGCAGAATCTCTGGAGGAAGCTACCACAGGCGGACTAGACCAGAAGCCGAAACTGAACCTCTTGGATGCACGAGCAAGGAGGGAAAAGCTACTCAAACAAGACAGATCTGAAGGCCCTCCGAATCGCCTGTGGCGATTCCGGCCCGGACAGAAATGCCATGAATTGAAGAAATTATTGGCCCAGATATCATTCGGGGTCTACTTGCTGATCAATGGAATGGCCAACAGCAATGCTCAGGTTCTTGCAATCCTCCAGGGGCACATTGATGAGGTGGATGAGTTCCTAGAAACATCTTTGGAGGACCTAAAGTGCGCAACGCAGGACCTCGAAGACCGACTGGACCTTTTGAAATTGCCCATGCGAAATATGGAGACGTTTGAGCAGATGCTAGAGAACCGCAAATTTCGCCTGCAGATCGTCGAAGGGAACGTCAATATTGAGCATATCCTCTCGCGAACCTCCACTGCCCATACCCAGACCATTCGCGACATATCTGAGGGTCTCGCATCTACCCAGCAATTCTCTCGGTACCTAGTTGACAATGAAAACGGCCGCTGGCGGCAGGAACAACCTAATGTAATTGATGTTTTTGAGGCAATGAAGGGGAACACCGAGGGCTGGCACAACGCATTCACCACATTGGAGTCACAGAGCAAAACGCTCAGCGGACTGTTGGTTCGGCTCAGCACGATGATTGTTGAGATAGACAAGAAGGCTGGCGAGGTTAGCCGGCGGACAAGGGTAAGTCGATCACATTTTTGGGGTTCCGGGTGCATATTGACAGATAAGTAGTTCACGTTGGAACCATACTCAGACCCAGATGGGCGGTCTGTCGCTCGTTCCCCCGAAAGCCCTACACAAGCCACACCGCCATCATCACCGCCCAAAGTCAAGGCCGACGCTCCTCCACGAATCAAGACTTTATACTTCGGCAACTCTATGAGCTCCCTTCTCGAAGCTCCGGAAAGTCCTGTCTGCATCGACTTTTCTCCGCAATCGGACAAGAGGATGACGACGGACTCGGCCACAGTATGGGAGACATTACCTGCTTTCCAGTATACACCTCCCGAGAGCTCGAAAACGATACCTGAAGTGGTTCCTGAGAAACGAGGTCAGACGGAGAAGGGGATTCAGCAGATACAGCCTGATGTATCTATTGAACGCGAATCAGTAGGCCCAGCCGAGCAGGACGAGGAAGATGAGTATGAGGAGGGTGATGCGGAAAATGAGGATGAGGACAAGAGTGGTCAGGATGAAAAGGAAGACAAGGAGGATGACAATGCGCTATTCATCCTGCAGCCGAGAACGTATACGCCAGTGCCTCCGGCGCCAATACCGTCCCCACGCGTCTTGGCAACGCCACGGCCGACACCAGAAGAGATCAGCATCCATATCGAGCTCGAGGCAGATGAGGTCGAGGAAGATGATTGGCGCTCGGAAGAAGGCTTGCGCGAATCCGCTATTATCATTCCACAGCAAGGTCCGAGGGCAACACCCAGCCCCAATAATCACTCGCGACCATTGCAGGTGAATCAGAGACAATCGGCGGAAACGCAGGAGCCAGATGCGCAGCTCTCGCACGGGACATCACTGAGAGATCGTGTCTCCCTCAAGATCGAACTGCCCGTGGCTATTCACGTTCCGCCGGTCAACACGTCAGAACTGCAACGTCCCCGGTACCCTACACCCCATTGTACGCCACAAGAGTCACCACGGATCCAGCGACCTTCAGGCCCCGCATACGGCTCAGAATCAGACCGTAATACCATGGACGACGACTCAAACTATTTTAATAACACCGAGTTCGGGCGTCCGGCCTTTCCGAACCTCATTCCATCGCCCGCATCTGAACAACAATATTTTCGGCCTGTACAGGCCAGTCCGCACTCTCCACTCCAGCAAAGGCCTCATACGGCAGGGACGTTTGTGGTGAATAGACCCGGCTACCATCAACGCAATGCCCCGTCCCAAATGGGCATGAGCATGCTGAGTAACGTTACGACAATGACGCACGATACAACTGTCACATCGCGGACAGGGACAGTCAAGAAAAAGCGCAGCGCGTTTGGTTGGCTCAAAAAGGCGTTCTCTCTTGATGAGGAAGAAAGAGCGGCCTTTGAGGCGAGAAGGCGTCAGCAGCCTGTCGACCAATACCACGAGAGAGGAAGCCCGCGCTATCTGGATGGCAAACGTCTAGACAGGCCTTCAACCGCACGACCCACGACCGCACAACCCACGACAGGACGGCCTATGACCTCACGACCCTCAACCGGGCGAACTTATACGTGAAATACAATGCGAGGATATCATTGCTATTCTCATTACAGACGAATGGGAAGAAATTGGGGTCACACAGGCTTTAGCCGTTTGCCCCGGAAGGCTGCTATAAGAAGGTTCACAGCATGTCTTCGTCTGACATATCAACCACTCATTAGTTGATTTACGCCATCTTTGCATCATTCGATTATACCCTATATACCACACAGCATATTGTCGACCCCACTGCGACCTATCTGCCATATATACATCGGCTCCAAAATCTGCAGCCAGAGTCTACCTTTGAACATAGCAACCAGCCCCCACCCGATCCTGCTAGCGGTAGCCTTCACGTTACAAGGGGCACTGAGCAAGGCTGGTTGTTGTCTACTATCTGCTTGCTCTAAGGGTTAAGCATAAATTTGGGGATTTTCCATTCCTTTTGTCGATGGCATCTTACAATGAGCGAAGGGCGCATGGAGCAAGGTTTTGGGCGCTTGGCTGAGCGAAGCGTTGGCTAAGGAACCGCTGAAGCACTTGGAAGTGATCGGCGGCTGGGAGGTTCGGTTGGATGTACTATATACCCTAGGTAAAGGCCTGCAACATTGGAATAAGAGAAACAATATGGTTAATCACCTCAGTCCTCTCTAATCTCACCAGATTGAGTAGCTTGTGTTTTGGACGTATCTGCACCGTCTCTTCTCTGAGGAGATCCGCTGTTTAGTATAGCCCAGGCGGTGGCTTTACTCTTGGAATCAAGGTGCTCGTTGTACGATGAGGCATGAAGAAGCGAGGAAGACATGATTACAAGCTGCAAGACTCTGGCCACGCGACCAAGCAACTTGGTTGGGATACAGCCGGCAAGGCAAGGTTCCACGGTCCTCCTGGCAAAAGGAATACAGAATGCTCAGATGGCGACAGAGGACGGGACTAGACTGTCACTTCCGCATGTGTCGGGGCGACAGAGGGCTCTCTGTCTACCTTGACGGTGACTAGGTAGTTTCTATGGAGACAATGACCACAAGAGGTGAGAAACCTGGCGTGCTTAGTCAAGAGTATGACTTCGGGTGTGGACAGTCGTATATGCCCCTGTAGATCTTTCAGGTATCATCTGGACTCGTTCGGAGCACTATCATAGGACGTATATTATCCTGGACCTCGAACAAACAAGCTTGTCTCATTATAGTTCGAAGAATTTCTACATATTTATTTTATGAATTTCCTCTCTCCACGAAAACATATGTACATATGTAGCCCTCCGGTCAACAAGTTGTTAATGGACGAAACAACGACCACTGTATCTGTAAGATTCCAGATGGAAGGATGTAGACACATGTGAAATTGGCCATTTTCCGGGATCTTTTTGCCCATATTATATCATCACAAGAGCCTACATGTCCTTTCTTGTCAGGTGTATAAAACATAACATCTATATATTTTAATATAATTATAGAAGGATTCTATGCACAATCATTAGAGAATGTATAGTTATATTAATAAGCTTTCAAGCGTGAAACTAATCACCAATGGAATTGTCACTCCCAGCTTTATATATGATTAGATTATAGATATATATATCTATACGTGTGTGTGTCTCGTTAATATCATATCGCTTACCGTCTGATCGTCTGGGGATCATTGTTGCTCCTGAACCAAGTATGAGGATATACACGACGTCAAACAGCGAAGAGGCTACTTCCACCGCAAGCTCGTTCAATATGCACTGATATGAGCTGGATACTGCTGCACATCGTTATATAATCTTTCAGTACCCTCGTCGATATATATGTCCGAGTTGGTGGTATGAACGCACATGTGCTGATGACTGCCCGTGGCTGAAGATCAGTAATAGCCCTGCGCAATATCTCCATATAAATCGTGCGGAATGACAGAAGATCATACCTAGCTATTACCAGATATCATAAGACTTTGCTGAGCTAATACATCAAAGGGGAAGGCAGGGAACATCACTGACTTTGGCGAACGGTATGTAGAAAACTCGAAAATGGTAGTAGGCTAACATATTTCAAAGTCTTTGGAAGATTAATTATACTTCTTATGTGTTGCGAATTTCAAATCATCGCTAACAGACAAATTGAATTGTGTAACAGTAGATACTTATATCTAACGGCCCCAGGGTTAAGACGTCTGAGGATGAGTAAATGGGCGAGAGCTCGCCTGCCAGATGATTTATGTGTTCTGAAGTTTCGTATCATCACTGCCTTGGGGGACGATCGAGCACATCTATACCAAGCGATCTTTCCAAAATTTCCTTATAGTACCGTTTTGAAAATCATGTATCATTACTAAGGTCCGGCTGGCCTAGTGGTTAGGGCGTCTGTCTTACAAGCTTAACGCAGTATCACAGAAGATCACAGGTTCAAACCCTGTGCCGGACATTTTTGTCTTTCTTTTGCTTCCATATCTGTCTTACTCACATGCGTCTGATGTACTGTGATGATGTTTTTCTTTTCCAACTCTCAGTAGTGCGCCAGATAAGGACCGCGATTGTTGGACCAATTCCAATGTATTGATAAGCCAGGAGCGGCGTGTCATGGGTTAGGGTTTAGGCGTGTTATGTGTTGTGGATTTCCAAACAAAGTCCATCACCTTGATGATTTGCTGGACATTCGACTACGCAAATAACTCCTAGATAGCCAAGTCCAGCAGTGCAAAACACCAAGTTGTTGTAGCAGGGGATCGATACCCCTTGGCCCACCACTCCCCCTAACTAGCGGTTCGTGATTCTGGACACAAGATCTCGGGTAGATTCGATTTGCACCCCCAATTGTGCTATGCTGTAACACGTTACACACCCGGCGCGTCTACGGTCCGATAAATTGCCAGATTTACAGGATGAGATCAACGACCTCCTAGTTCCGTCCAACAGCAGTCGGGAGGCATACATCTCGCGCAGTCACCCCAGATGCAGGCAAGCATTTTCGTTCTTGGGTAGGCGTGTCAAAAGATCCAAAACTCAAACTTGATTTTATCTACTCATCACGCCGAAGACTTTGTTCAAAATTAACGAATTTTGTGTTCGATGGATATCATAATGGTCAATAGGAGACCACAGCCCACCCCTGGGGCGCAACACCTCCTCCTCACCCGATGAACCCAGACCGGGCTGACACACACACACTTTTCCCTCTATATACACGCCACCGGGCTTCACTCCAGCTTCTGGTTGGGCCCCGCGATCAGGACCTTGATGACCTGGCCGCCGTGGACCTTCTCGAAGGCCTGCTCCGCCTGCTCGAAGGCCACCGTCTCGGAGATCATGCTCTTGGCGTTGATCTTGCCGGAGGCGACCAGCTCCACGGCGAGCTTGTAGTCGCCGTAGCCGTACCGGAAGCAGCCCTGGACGATGGCCTCCTTGGCCGCGAGGGCCATGATGGGGAAGACGATGTCGGACTTGCCCATGCCGCCCTGGATGTAGTGCCCGCCGGGCTTGAGCACGTGGATGGAGGCCTGGATGGAGGGCTCGGCGCCGGTGGCGTCGATGACGACGTCCGCGCCGTCGGGCAGGCCCGCCACCGCCTTGATGTTCTCGGCGTTCTCCTCGGCCGGGATGCGCTGCGACACGTACGTGTGGGTGGCGGCGAAGCCCAGGGCGAAGTCGAGCTTGGACTGGACGATGTCGACCGACACGACGGTGGAGGCGCCAAAGGCCCTGGCCACGGCGGCGCTCAGGAGGCCCACGGGGCCGGCGCCCATGACGACGACGGACTGGCCCGGCCTGATGTTGGCCAGGTGGGCGATGTGCACGGCGACGGCGGTGGGCTCGATCAGGGCGCCCTCCTGCAGCGACATGTTGTCCGGCAGCTTGTAGCAGAAGTCCTCGGGGGCGGCCCAGAAGCCCGTCAGGGTGCCGTGGTACGGGGGCGTGGCGGCGAACTGCATCCGGGGGCAGAGGTTGTACTTTCCGGCCAGGCAGCTGGGGCAGTGGCGGCAGGGGTAGCCGGGCTCGACGGCGACGCGGTCGCCCACCTTGAGGGTCGTGACGGCGGGGCCGACCTCGGCGATGACACCGGCGGACTCGTGGCCGAGGACCATGGGCTCCTTCACTTGGAACTTGCCAATGCCTCCGCTCTGCCAGTAGTGAACGTCGGAGCCGCAGATGCCCGTGTAGGAGATTGAGACGAGGACATCGTGGGGGTTCTCGATCTTGGGAATGGGGCGATCAACGAAGCCGACGTCCTTGATGCTGTTAAGGATAAAGGATTTGTTCTGGCGTCAAAGGGTCAGTTCCGCCATTCGTATACAACCATGTATGCGTCCAGTTTTGCTTCAACCCGGAGGATATGGCCACTTACAGATTGGCCGGCCATTTTGTCTGCGAGAATTGGAAAGCAGATTGATTAATGTTGGATATATGGGGTGGTCAGATGTACCACAACGCGTGTTCAGTAACGGAGAAGGTAGGGTTGTAGGGGAGTAAGTAGTGTAGAGAAAAGTTTAGGGCCGGGCGAACGCAAGAGAAGCTCGTGAATATCAATTGAATTCGTTGATGGGGTCGTGACGTAATTTTCCAGGGTTGTGGGGAAGCTGGGAGGGAGAAGAGACGGTGAAATAGGAATAGGAATAGGAGACGGGGAAGATGGTCAGGAACGAGAACTTTGCAAAGTTCTTCAGGGCGCCTGTGATAATTAAATATCTTCAGCAACCACAAATCTGGAGACTTTGGCGTGGTTTGGATTTTGCTGTCTCCCGAGGTTCTGTGATCGCCAGGGTGTCTCGGCGGACGTCACCCCTCACTCTCACCCACAATTTGGAAGAGCTCTATCAAAGTGTTTGGGGGTGTTTTGGGGGGAGGACTCAATGGGGTCACTTGTTTCCGCGGGGCAGCCTGGAAGTGACCCCATCCCCCACCCCCGCCACGAACCAGGCCTGACCCAACGTTGCGGCGCCCGCCCTCTGGGCTTGCTACTAGGTACTATGTCCGTCACTGTGTTCCAAGTTTTAGAGGCACTTCCGTTCGTACAGTGTACCTAAACCAAGGTAGTCGATCACTTGAATTCTGCTAGCATGTGCGGCATTTTATTAGGTTTCCTTTAGGGCCAGGAACAAGGAGCAGGGAACCGGGTACCACCGGGGAGATCTATGTACATACAGCAGATAGACTACGTGCCCAGGTGCCAGGTCGCTGGTCCTAGGATTCGCATACGGATCCGTAGAGCCTCCTCCATGGTGGACTTTCCTCGGTAGACTTTCGACGAGCTATCCAGCGGTGCCTATTAGATCTAGCTACCGGCCTTCCGAGGAGCGTGATGGAGCAGACTGGGAGACAACACATAGTAGCCGCTCCAATCATTTGCGAGCTGTCCCCCAAATCCGGAGCCGGTCGAGTGTCGTCCGCGAGGTAGACAGGGTACCGGTAGACAGCAGCCCGACGTCACCCGTTCCCACGTCTCTCAGCGCATGAGAGGGAGACCGTTGTCGTCGTGTACTATGTAATAGACTTATCTGCCTGTCCTTCTTTGTCAATGACCACGTCGAAAAGACCGGCTAACTTCAACGGACAGATGGATGCTGAGGGCCGCAATCCTACGAGTCTACTTACTGCCTTGTATCTGACATGGCACTAGATTATGCGGCTGTCCGTCCATGACCATGCATCTACGTACATGCCGTCAGTTGAGCCTCGAGTTCATTGTCCCTTTTGTAGCGCGGCAGTCTGGTCTGGCCGCCAAGCGGACCTCGGGATGTTCCAGAGTCCAACCTACAAGCTAAATGGCGAGAGGCCAAAACTACGGTCGCAGTCCAATCCTCAGATACCACCTCTATAATGTGTTCAACATCGAGTCGGCGCTATAACCAGCCACCTTGGAAGGATATACTTGGACGGCCGTCTATGATCCAGTTCCCAAAGCTTTCCTTCTCGAAAAAAACCAAAAGGCACTAAAGAGAGAGACTGTCCTAGGAAAAGAACAGATATCAAGAAGCAACGGAGCTAGCATGGCATCAGCCAAACTCTTCCTGGCCCACCGACCAGGAACCAAACACCATCATGAGCATCACGATCATCCATTACCACCATCAGGAAAAAAGAAAAAGAGAGGCGAATATCGCCGGGAATTGAGCCCGACGTGGGGGTCGAACCCACAACCTTGAGATTATATCAGAACCGAGAGGCTCGTTAAGAGTCTCACGCTCTACCGATTGAGCTAGCCGGGCGTCTTTCGACGCCTTGTTGGTTGATGAACGGTGTCAAACTCTGTCTCATATTTTGCACACATTGTGAAGAGTTTTCGAGGTTGGAGTGGGGACGTGGTTATAACTACACGCTAGCTCGCTAGTGCCCGTAGGGCCCCCCACCCTTTCCCAGTCCCAGCAGATTGTCCATTGGTCCCACCAGGATGGGATATTTGGTCCCAGTTCAAGGGTTGTCCTGCAGTTCCCTGTCTTGTCCGGTTACATGCAGGGGCGCGGACTCGTCCGTAGATCCTTTATTAATACCTGCGAACTCATTAGTTGTGTAGCTAGTATATATGTATATACTTAGGTGTACGATGTCTTTTACTGTTCAGGCAGCTTGATTGAGGTTTGAAGATTATATAATTAGCATATAATACAAAGTGACAGCCTACCGCTATATTCCAAGACTGTTGCTATAACCCGACCGTCAATCACCCATGTCCGGTCGAAGGTCTGGGCACGTCTTCCATCGGGAGTCGGACCGAGGCCCTGGCTCGAGTTGTGGGCTGTCTGGTCGGGATCGGGGAGCTATCCTGCTCTCGCATTCACCCAGAGGGTTGGTGATGTGAATACATAGGTAGAAGTTAACACTACAAGTCAACCGATGAATTTCTGGTAGAATTGACACACTCTAATAAAGATACTTTGATTACAACGCATCTGCCTTGGCACACCACGATAGGTATGGTAGTGGCCGTATGACGCATATGGTACAAATAGTAGATGATTACATCAAGAAGACCGTGAAATTCAGACCCTAGCTTGCCATCGTACGACATGAACAATGCTGGCAGCAACAGATGACTGACAGCAAACCAAGTATCCGCACAGAACAAATCTACACGCATTCGAGGATAGCATGACCACCAGAATCAGAAAGGCATCTCTGTTGTTAGAAACTTGAGAACTTCTTCTCCTCTTCCATTTCCTTCTTCACGCCCAAGGCTTCAATCTTGGATTCGACGCGGATGGAAGCATATTGGCCAGGTCGTACATTTCTCTTGGCCTCCAGTTTAGCATCTCGCCGCTCCTGGTCCAAGTGTCGCACCTCCACACCGAGCCAAGTTTTAACTTGCTTGGGAGCGTACGGGTCGAACCTCTTTAGAATCGTCTGGTCAGGCCGATCTACTATCGCATGGGGCAAAATCATTGAACTTACCCAGCACTCGGGTGCCAAGCCCATGCGCCGATCGATGAAACCCCAGTCCTCGGCCGGTTCGATCTCGAAGTTTGCTTTGTTCAGTCTCTGGAATATATCCCTCTCGACACCCTCGGAGTTCTAGGTCGAGGGCCACATGCGGGAGATTGTGAAGCCGACAGCCATGGCACTCTTGTCGAAATGGGCCGACACCCAGTCGGCACCCCGGCGAGCGGTGATGGAATTGCCAACGAACCGCCGCTTCTTGTAGGGCGTTTTAGAAGGCTCACCATGGTCGGGTATCTAGAGTATATGCAGTGTGTTAGTTAGCTAGCTATGCGATCCCTTGTGAAGCTTGGCTGGTACGTTCTTTCGTTGCCAGCGGGGGTAGGAAGTATGTCCCCAGGCAAAGCAAGCTGGACCGGCGCAACCAAAGTCTCTCAGCAGGTAAGCAAACCTGTGCGGAAGCCAGAAGTGCATACTAACCCTCGCGTTGACTCAGGTTTGGAGCAAAGGTGAGGCGAAGAGAGTAGGTGGGGGGCGGGGGGGGGGGGGGCAACTGCATCAACTAAGAACATCAACAGGGACAAGACCAACCGCATCAAGAGGCTTGCGATCCTTGAACTCAGACTTGGGCGTGGTAGAGGACGAAGGAGCCATGGGGATTGACGCGAGGCTGAGATTGGCGGCACCACCCTCCCGCTTCACACGCTTCGCGTCAGGGTCGGCCTTGACAAAGGCGTCGGCCTCTCGCTTGGTGGCCATCGTGTCGTGCCGCGTGTGGTCCAGCAATCGAGAAGGATGACAAGCCGGTTGTGTTCAAAATCAAAATCAAAAAGAAGAAAAAAAGGAAGAAGGAATCTTGATGGCGGTGAAAGGGGTTCTTGGACTGCTGGAAGACCCCAGTGGGAGTGGCGTTTCTTGATCGCGACAACGGTAGGGCACGTTCGCTTGCAGAGAATGAAGTGAGAAAAAGACGCCGATACTTACCTGGGTACCTAGGTACCCAGGTACTCAAAAATTCGGAAGTTGCTCGGCGGCTGCAAGAAGGAGGAGGTCGACTTGTTGAACCTAGCTTGGGGAAGGTGCTTTCCTACCTCGACCTCGCTGCCGTTGGTTCCCTACAGAACCTACCGTAGACTGCACCAACGTAAACCCAACTACTGAACCGTACCCAGGTTGGCTGGAGGGTTTCTCCAAAGTTCATTATTTATAACTTCCAGGGCTGTGACAGATGCCCAACTGAATATACGGGAGGGAAGCCTTGTAAACAAGAACCAATTTGGATATGGTGTGCAACCATGTAGGTGATCCCTAAGACAACACCGTGGCACCCCCCCCCACCGCCTTCTTCATATATGGCCATGAAAACACCATGGATCCTACAAATTAGCCCCAATCCCCTTCTTATACGCCGCAAGCGCCCTCTCCCGACTCCTACTATGCTCGACTATAGCCCTCGGGTAACCACCCTTCTGCGCTATCGCTGCCGCACCCCTCCCATACGGATCATGGATAGCCTTGCCCTTCACCTCCTTGAGCTCGGGGATCCACCTCCTGATATACTCCCCGTCAGGATCAAACTTCTCGCTCTGCAGCAGCGGGTTAAATATCCGGAAGTAAGGCTGGGGATCCACGCCCACGGACGCAGCAAAGCCCCAGCCGCCATTGTTGGAGGCGAAGTCGCCGTCGATGAGATGCTCCATGAAGAACCTCTCGCCCATACGCCAGTCGATCAGGAGGTCCTTGGATAGGAAGGACGCGACGACCATCCGGACCCTGTTGTGCATCCAACCCATGTGGCGGATCTGCCTCATGGCCGCGTCGACGAGCGGGAAGCCCGTTCGGCCTTTGGTCCAGGCTTCGAAGTGTCCCTGGTCATAAGACCACTCGATGTTCGAGTACTCGGGCTTGTAAGGCTTGTTCATACATACGTAGGGCCAGTGGACCAGCACGTGCTTGTAGAAATCTCGCCAGGCGACCTCGCTCATCCACGTCTGGATCCCTTCATTCCCACCGTCGAGCTTCTTGGTGGTGTTGTGGTCCCTCGCCGTCCGCACGCACGTCCTCGCACTGATGGTGCCGCTGGAAAGATGTACTGATATGTTTGAGGTCCAATTCTGCGCAGGGAAGTTGCGTTTGACTCTGTATGAGCCGATCCGTTCCTCGCAGAACTTTCCGAGCCTCTTCTGTGCCTCGTGTTCACCAGCTGGCCATATGAGGCGATACTGATCTGCGTCTTCGGCTGAAAGCTTCTTGTTGGCGGGCGCTTCCGGGATCTTGCTCTCAAAAAGGCTGCCGAACTCCATTCTGGTCGATACTGGGTTTGTTGCTGGAGGATCAAAAAGCTCTAACAACTTCGGGTTCGCATGAATATGGGAAACCCAGTTTCGATGCCAGGGCGAGTAAACGGCATATTGCCTCCCCGTACCAGTCTCCAGCTGGCCCGGGGGCACGATACAAGTATCGTGGACTACCTCAAAAGCCTTGTCCTTGTCGGCCAGCATCTTAACCAGCCTCGCCTCCCGCCGCAGCTCGTCGACCTCATACTCCATGTTAGCATATAAGTGATTCGCACCCCATGCCTCTATGAGGCTTGAAATTCTTGCTGTGACATCTTTCCGCTTCTCAACCATCTCCACATATAGCGGAATATCCAGTCTCCCCAGGTCAGCTTTGAGGACCTCCAATGTTCTCAAAGTGAAATCCACGCGAATCGGTGCGGTCAGATGTGCCTCCCAGTCCTGAGGGCTGATAATGTAGAGCCCTATCAGCGGGACACCTAGTTCCCTCGCCTTCTCACTCGCCATAAACAGAGATGTGTTGTCCGAGGTCCTCAGGTCATTCTTGAACCAGTGCACCACGGACTTACCAGGTCTAACGCTGTTGCGAGCTGCAGAGGTCTCCCGTATGACAGACTGAAGCTCCTCTATAGGTCGGGGGATCTCGTTGTCATTGTAGGCGATGGCACGAGTATTGCTCATCTCGTGAGGGTAATACTTCCTCAGTACTATGCCATACTCCTCAGACTCTTTATAATTAGGATGAGGTTGAGACAGTGGAGATGCTTTCAACTTCTTTGCCGTGGCTCCATTGGCTGCACCGATTACTGGTGGTGCTTTTCGCTTGGACGGCATGGTTGCGAGCTGGCGGGTGATGATGACCAGTGATGTTGAGGTCGGTGTTGGCCACAGCGTGTTTCTTGCAGCGAGACAGCGCAGAGCCATGGATAACAATCAGTTGTAGAGAATTGTCGGCGCGGAGACTTACATGTATCCTGCCAAGACCTACCGCACGTAATTAACTTCAGCCAGACCTTGTACCAATGGTCTGGTTGGGGGGTTTCACTAGAACGGTCGACCTCGTTCCTTGCGTCATGGACATTGCAGATCGATCTTCATTTCTTCCTGGCTTGGCTAGCGTATCGTAGCCCACCTTCGTTGTGCGGCCGAAAATGTTGCCATAACATTGAGTAAATGAGGTCCTCCTAAACTGCTGTACAGCCAGAACTCCAGATACTGTACTGGAGAGCGCATGGCACAAGTCTGAAGTCCAAAGGGTAGCATCCAGCCATTCTTGTCATCAAACACCAGAGTGTGAGCCATCCCGAGACTTTGCGACCTTGACGCAGAACGGTATGCTTCTGGATGGTGTTGAGGAGGAGCCACGATCGCAGGACCACGCGCCTGGCCCTGAGATTGACAGGAAGATTCATATGGTGATTGTGCCAAAAATATCAAAAATACAACTTTGTGTGCTATCCTCCTCCGCGTGGGCTCGAACCACGAACCTCCTGATGTTCCTGTCATATAGTTCAGTAACAGTCAGACGCGCTAGCCAATTGCGCCACAGAGGATTGCTAGTTGCGCAACTCAATTACTCGTGTTGCTTGGACTTCGGCGATTCAGTGGTACTCATACAGATAGTTCAACTGCCGACAATCCACTCGCACTGGTCGACGTTGTTGTTGAGCGGTCCAGCTCTCGAAGAGGCAAGAGTAAGAGTTGTACCGTGGCATTCAAAGGCAAGAAGAATATCTGCCTCTACTCATAAGCTTCCACACAGTTGTCGAGGTTCGGCTCGGTAAGGCGGTCGGTAGCACGATGTCCGAATGGAATCTGTTTCGAAAGATCTGTAGTTATCAGTAAGATAGGACGAGAGGGCACTTATCGGTAGTACAATGACGGGATGGGATGAGATGAGATGGGATGTATAGTTTCGAAAGGGAACCTAATTCGATGGATCAGTCATTGCCGACGCTGGAGTCTGGGAATTGTATCACACTGTCCCATATGCCACGGGAAGATGAAGGTGTATGTCATGGCCCGCGGCATGCCTCGCCTGGATGCCGCTGTTTTGAAATTCCCGGCACCACTTGGGCAGCGAAAGACGCCGGAGTCGTTTCGATTCATTCTTCTTCCTTGCGTTGCCCGTCATCACTAGGGAGGATGGGTTGTGGATACCGGGGTGGTGATCGATGCTCGTTGCTGGGCCCTTGCCATGATTTGGAATCTGTTTCCTTGCTCTGCTTTTTTGTGTAGGTTGTTTGAATTCAGCAGTCAACTGGTGTGCACAGAGTTGGAGAGGGACCAGGAAAGAAGGGCCGAAGTGTTCGTCGGGAGGGAAGGAGCGCCTTTACAGGTCCCTAACAGGAAGGAATCCATGCGGACGCATGTACGGAGTGAGGTATGCAAGCGTCTTAGTGGTCTCCGTTGAAGTTACCCTTGTGCCCCCGGCGTTGAAAGAGGCATGGGTCTATCATATATGCTCGGTTGTACCGAGTTGACCTAGCTAATAGTGCTGAGACCTAGGTTATTCCTACAGTCACATGCCCGCAACCTCTTCCAAGATTCCTCGGCTCAGGCCCAGCGTCTTACATCCTCCAGAACAGGCAGATTCAGCCCTGACACACAATAGTTGACCTGATGATGGGCAACGACCCTAGTCTACCTCAGAAAAGGCACAGCCTTGCGACCCTCCCTATGCAACATGACCGATTGACTTCAGATCTGTAAGATAACTAGCTGTAACTCGAGATACACCTGCCATGCTTTAGAGGCATCCATTGTCACCGTCCACGAGCCTGGATAATGTGGATCAGAAGCATAGTTTTATCTCTTGAACCCTTCAGTAGTACACCATGTGACCTCCCGACGGGTGTCGATGTGTGGTGATTAATTGTCTGGATATCTGTAACCTTTTCAAGTGCCCCGAGACACCGGACCACTTGGGTACCTCGCTTGCTGACCACGACGTCAATATTGTCATTATTCGATATGGCGGCCTGGAGTGGTAGCGTTGCTCGTTGAGCATGAACTTGGCTAGCACTGGAGACTACGCTGTGTCACTTGGCTGCAGAACATCCGTAGACGATGACTCCATTACTATGACGTTGCAGGCGAGAAGGAGAGGCACGACTTGCCAAGAGCAACCGGATGAGTACTCGGCAAGAACCAGAGACCAAACTAAGCCCTCCGGTGAGCACGTCGTGTACTGGACTCGACAGAAGGAATTAGGAGAGTGGATGTTAGACTCGTATCTGTACCACGACGAACAACTTGAGCATCGCGGCTTTTTCAAAGCCTGGTCGATCTACGGCACGGGGGCCATCGAAGTGGCCCCAGAAAACCCGGATATGAATTGCTCCCGCAGGCGCATCCGAGTAGACTTTACCAGCCGGGACATTTCACGCGGAAAGGTGCAATGGAAACATGAAGACATGGCGTAGGTATCACTGGATTGTATCGAAGGGGCGCGATGAAGCGCAACGGGCTCGAAGGGACGTTTGTCACATTCGTCTTCGGCTCGTTTCGAGTATCGGATATGATCGGGGAGGTTCAAGGGACGTTTCGTTCGTTTCGAATGTTCTCAATACCGGCAAGGTGCAATTCCGTGCCGTCTAACTCCATGAAGCACCATCTTCTGATGTCCGATGTCCAGCCTTTCCGAGATGCCAAAACAAACAACCGTATCCCTGTGAATGAAGTCCTGTCAGCCCGAGTCCTCCAAGAGACGCACAAGCTGCGCTCGGTGTGCGAGCACAGCCAGACCTGATCGTACCTTGATTTTCCCAGTTTTGTTATGTCTTCCAACACCAAGCCTGCCATTTATCGCTGAGCACTCCAGACGGCCTTGACAAGACCATCGCGCTGGGCCAATCGGTTCAGGGCATCGTCGGACTCGCCCATGGCACGGACGAAACCGCAGAGGGCGTAGACGTGGTTCTCGCCGGGAACGGCACGGCCGGACTCGTCAACCTTGGCGATGGAGATCTGGACGGAACCGTGGTCCTTGGCCTTGATGATGCGGTTGGTGGCAGAGCACTTGCGGGGGACGTAGCTATTCGTGAGGTGGCCTGGGTTAGCAGAGTTTCACTTTCGTTGGGTGGCTTGTCGTCCGTCGTCGCCTTCCAAACGCAAGTCAATTCATAGGTTCGGCTGGGTCCTTACAGATCGACGATCTCGCCACGGTCGTTTTCCATTTTGGCGGTTGGGTTTGGGGGTTTGCCTGGGAAAGGGTGTGAAAGTGGGTTGCGATGGTCAAGAGGTCGTCCAGTCAGTCTCCGAAGGGCGCTGTTTGGTGTTGCTGTGAAAATTGAATGCGATTCTGATTTGGTGGGTTGGTCCAAGCGTCTTCCCACTTTTTCCAGACCGGGTGAATTAGGTAAGGAATTAGGTAAGCAGACCGGGTCGATGTTGAGGGAGGCGAACTGTGCAGGTGACCTCGTGTTAGTAACGTGTTAGCGACGCGTTAGCGTCCAGGCAAGTACGTACATGAGTCTCAAGCAATTCGTACTACCGGCCGGAGTATAAGGAACAATCAAAAGATTGCCACACCATCATCGACTCAGCTTTCCTGGGGGCATACAGGAACACTGCAGGGTCCGTACCCGATAATCACACTGACAACTCCACAAGCTCTGCGATGCGCATGGCGCATCCCTTCGGTATCGTGGAGGACAACCCTACGACCAACGATGGCAGCTAGCAATTTGTTGGCGTCGCCTGCGCGCCCGACGCTAAACGACCGTCTCATGATGCTGTCTTCATCCCCTGACCTCCCTGACCTCAAAGATCTCATCGCAAAGAAGCCCAAGGTTCACGCACTGCGCAGCGGTAGTGCCGCAGCGCCGTTACCTGACAGCACGGCTATAACATTCACGTCCGCCGCTGATGTTCTACGAGCCGCCCAGGCAAATGATCGCGATGAAAACGATACAATTGATGAGCCAGAACGACCTCTTGCAACTAAGCCGCCCATGAAGCGAGCGCTCAGGTCAACCACGGCGTCAAAACGTGTGGCAAAAGATGTGGTGGTCCTGTCTTCCGATGGAGTGGCACCCATAGGCGACGAGGAGACGCCTACAGACATAGGTGCTATCGGCGTAAAGAGCCTTGAGGCCGACACATTGGAAGAGAGGCCCTGGAAGAGGTTCAAGTCGACTACAGAATCGGCGGATACGGAAAGGGATACATCAGTCCAACAGGGTGGACATATAGAAGCTGGCAAGCCTCCGGCAAAGGCCAGGGTGTCAAGGAAAAAGACAAGCAAGACTGAGACCGTCAGCAAACATTTCCAGCAGAAGCCTGTGGCGAAGGGCACAGCAGTGAAAACTTCAACTCCGGAGCCGCTGAATTTGGAACCAGCGGTACAAAGGAGGACGGACTGGACACCTCCGCGGGCGGATACAACACCCGAGGAAACTGACCCGTATGATGTGTCCGTGATGACATCTCAAGTAGACGAGGAAGAAAGGGCCGCGGGAACAATGGAAATCTTCAAAAATCTTCATGATGCATATGGACATAAAGCGACAGACGCTGATCTCGAAATTACGAAACAACAGGCGGCAAAGGTATTGGGTAAAAGAAGAGCCATTGATATGGTGTCTGTAAACCAATCAGTCAAGGTGACTGATGATCACCGAACCTCTTTACCGGTGAAGGAGAAGGCGCCAAAGAAGAAACCGCGAACAATTACAGAATTAGCTACAGCAGCATACATATCAAAGGCTGCCGAATTCGACGAAGATCCTCGAAACGAGGACTCCATCCTCGAATATTTCACCGTCGACAATGAAGCACAGGAAGTTTCCAAAACAATGGCAACCAAGGGGAAGGGAAAGGCGAAGGCAGCAAAAGTGTTGAAGAGTACAAGAAAGAAGATACCGGAAAAGAAGGCGATCTTGTTATCACCGGAATCTGCCATGAGGCGATCGGCAAGACAGGATTTCGTCTTCGGTACTTCGAGCCAGCTGGCCCGAGAACAGTCCCCCACCTTTTTAAAAGATCTTCAAACGGCACTGCGAGCCTCGAATGCTGCAAAGGCAGAAGGCCTTGTTGCCAACAATCCCGGCGAGACAGAAGGCGAAGGGTCGAAGAAGCCAAATCGGGGTCTCTGGTCGGTCAGTGCAAGAGACGAATGTGGCGAGCTTGTGGATGTCGAAGTCATCGACTTGGTCGACTCGTCTGGGTTTCCGGATGACGACTCGATAGCGATCTTGAATCCCTGGAAGGATCTACCGCTGGAGCCAGTAAAGGACGAGGCCGCCAACTCGCCGCTGAAAGAAGTTGACAGCAAAACTGCGCCAACGAACATGGGGGAGCTTTCGCAGTCGCCGGCACCCAAGTCTAATTTCTTCTTGTCACAACACAAGGTCACCGTGAACACCACTCCTGCCGCTTCACCTGAATTCTCACGGCTCTCTTACCCGCTCATTACGGATTTGATGGAAGAAGAAGCACCGCCGCCTAGCAACCAGCAGCAGAGTCAAGAAGAGGTCAGGACCATTTCAACTACTAAGACTAATCCTATCCCAAAGCCAAATCCACGACCAAAGTACGAGGAATTTACTGA